TTCTAAAAACACTTGGCAGGCATCAGGAAAGATTATCCAACCCACTAGGGCCACCAGAGCCAGGAGATATTTAACCTCTATCCCAAAGGTGTCCTCAAGTGCTTAACTTTTGTCCATACAGTTCATTTACCCAGAAAGGAAGACAAGCCCCTCTGTTGCCCCTGAGCCCGCCTCCCCACCACTGTCCAGGTTCAGGTGAGATAGCCTCCATCAGCACCACCCAGCTGATGGGTCTCCCTGCCGCCATGTTTCCAAGACAAGCCAGAAGGCACCGAGGCTGGATCATGCGTAAAGCTGCCAACCTCCAGAGAGTATTAGAAAAACAACGGGAAACACAGTGTAGAAAATCGGCCAAAAACTAAGATAACACCGTGTACAGCCAACCAGGCAATATTTTACAACAACCGAAACTCTTATTCACCTTAAAGATCACGTGTTCTCAAAGATATTAAACGTGATACACGTAAGTTCGTTATTTTCAGTAATCAATATAGTCAATGAAATGGTCACAGAGTTTAACGACAGTACAGCAAAGCTTCTCCTGAGCAACATCACACTTTAATATCTGACTATATTAGGGACCAAGAGAAACTTTAGTGGGTCTCAGTTGTATACCACAAGGAGGAGATTGGATTTATACCCCACCCTTCACTCAGAGTCTCAGAGCGGCTTACAAACTCCTTTCCCTTCCCCTCCCAACAGACACCCTGTGAGGTAGGTGGGGTTGAGAGAGATCTTTCCAGAACTGTCCTTGAGAGAACAGCTCTATGGCTTGCCCAAGGTCATCCAGCAGCTGCATGTGGAGGAGTGGGGAATAAACCCGGTTCTCCCAGATTAGAGTCCACACACTTAACTCAAGCTGGGGAAGAGATGAGAAAGTCGGGTGGGGCACAGGCCAGTGAACTTGCAACCAGCATGATGTAGTGGTCAAAAGCCGCAGACTCTAATCTGGAGAACCGGGTTTTGATTCCTCGCTTCTCCTCCACATGAAGCCTGCTGGGTGACCTTGGGCCAGTCACAGTTCTCTCAGAACTCTCTCAGCCCCACCTACTTTACAAGGGGTCTGTTGTGGCAAGAGGAAGGGAAGGCAATTGTAAGCCGTTTTGAGATTCAAGGTAGAGGAAAGCGGGGTATAAAAACCAACTCTTCTTCTTGTACATTCTCTGGGCTGCTTAACGGTAGTCTTCCTATTTGCCCTTTCAGGTTTCCCCTAATTCTCCCTCTATCAGTGCTCTGGTTTCAAACCCTTCTTCCTTCTATCATCATCAGTGCTCTGGTTTCAAACCCTTCTTCCTCCCTTTCCCCCTCTCTGCCCCCTGCTACGGACCCTCAGGCTGGGGAGAAGTGGGTGTGTGGTGCCACCACACCAAAAGGTTGCCACTGCACAACTGAATCTCCACTTCCACATAGGAATAAGCCAGAAGAGCCTTGATGGTCCATCAAGAAGGAACAAAACACATCCAGATGGTGGACAAACAAGATTTCTTCCCTTCTGTGTTGCCTGAAGCCTCAAGTGAGGTGAATCAAGATCCCAAGGAGATCTTCAACATAAGAACACTAGGAAAAAGGCCCGTTGTGGAAATAAATACAACGAGCCTATAAAGAGGCTCTGGGCGGGTGCCCCGGCCTTGGACACTCAGTGTTAATTTGCTGTGGCGACCTCAGCAGGGTATAATGACACTGAGTCCACCATTTTCTCTAGAGGAACTGATCTCTGCTACCTAAAGAACAGTTGTAATTTTGAGTGATCTCCAGCCTTCACCTGGAGATTGGACACATTTTACCTCAGAACAGCAAACTGTTTAGAATGTCAGAGGCAAAAGCCAATCAAGTCGCATATGCAAACGACCTCTGTGTTCCGAGGCAAAGGCCAATGAGGCTGCATATGCAAATAACCTCTGTGTTCTGACTGGCTATGGGGGGGAGAGGAACAGCAAACTGTTTAGAATGTTGGAAGTGAGGCTCAAGCAATGCAGCCAGTGGATAGGGACAGATTCTGAGTGACACACCAGGGCGCCAACCAATTCCGGAGTGTGTGAAATGTTCTAGAGAAGTGCACCACCATTCGGCTTTTATATACAAGGGAGAGAAGAAAAGCCCTGCTGGATCAGACCAGTGCTCCATCTAGTCCAGCATCATTTCTCACACAGTGGCCAATCAGTTCCTCCGGAGGGCCAACAACAGGGCATGGAGGCTGAGGCCTTCCCCTGTTGTTGCCTCCTCACACTGGGATTCAGAGGTTTACTGCCTCTAAATGTGGAGGTTCCCTTTAGTCACCACCAGGGCTAGTAGCCACTGACACACCTATTCTCCATTGGTTGTCCTTCTCTGCATTTCTTCCATGCCACGTATCTGCCACACTTTGTTTTATGGGAGGTGGAGAAGGAATTGATGGCTACCAATAAAAGAATTGTTAGTCAAACCCAACTTTGTAGGCCACTGTCCTTTTACCTGGTTTTTGGTACCTTCCAAAATGCAGTATTTTTCCACAGGTGACAGTGCAGAGAGTCTTACCTTTTCAGAGCTCTACCTGAATTAGCATAACCTTGTAAGTACAGCTTCATTTGTGAAAGTATTTGCAAAGGAGAATGCCAATAGTGTAATCTAAAGGACTTACTCCAATTTTAAAACTGCATCTCAAATGTGAAGAACCTGGCTCAGCCCTTGTAAAACACCGGTATGTTAAAAGTGGTCTTAAAAGTGTAACATCTGAAAAACCTTGTAACTCGGATAAACTCAACTAAATCTAGTTGTGATGGGCAGTAAGGCCCCCATGCATATTTACACAGAAGGAAATTCAATCTCCAAGGTGAGAGAACATAGGATCACGGCCCATTGCACACAAAGGTAATGTGTCTGAAGTACCAAACTTCAGAGTGAAAATCTGAGGCTCCAGTAGGGTTGGCTACTCTGGATTGTGAAATTTCTGGAGATCTGGAGGTGATGCTGGGGGAGGGCAGAGATTGGGGAGGGAAGGAAGCTCAGCGGTGTTGTAATGCCATAAAATCTATCCTTCCTTCTACCGTTTCCTTCAGGGGAGCTCTGTAACCTCACTTGTAATTCTGGGAGGACCCAGGCCCCACCTGGAGGTTGGAAACCATAGGCCCTAGCAATACTGGCTCACCATATACAGCTGCAGGGAGAGATGGACAAGCCCCACCCATCTCACCTCCATTTTTATTCCTCTGCCTCCTCTCCCGCTGCATTCTGGGAATCGTAGTTCTAAAACCACCTGATATTTAAATCCAGAGTCACTCTAAAATTAACTCCATGCACCAATGACATCAAGGTGGTGAAGTCAATTGTATTCAATTGAACTTAATGATGTTTAATTTTTGCGAGACTCGGTCTGATTAATTTTCACTGTCTTGACCTGCTGCCAACTTCTGCAACCTTATAAAGACCAAACTTTTACTGGCTTGTTTTTTAAAAAGAGAAAAAGGTGGACTTTTAGCAGACCATGTGCTACAGATCCTTTTTCCTACTATTTTCCAGGTAGTCACTCGCGATCATAGGTCACAATCCTCAACATATGTTCTGCGCTGCGGCTCCATTTCAATTAGATTAGAAAAAGAATCTTATTTGGATGTAATACTTGATCCTGCAGCCACAATTTACCATATTCTCTACAAGTGCCTGGAGCCACAACCACTGCCCCAAGTGGTTACATTACAGTCGCCTCTCCACTGAAGAGTGAAGAACGCTAAAACTCAAATCCAAATAATTTCTATAAAGGTTTATAAAGTAGAACAAATACCGTATGCACCAAGCAACAAAGAAGGGATGAAGGACACCGTTCGTGCACACCAAACTAAATCAGTCCTCAGTGCATTGAACAGAAATGTGGACAACAGTCGCTGCAAGGAGTCAATAACTTGACAACTGCATCGTCCTTTATCAATCACTGTCGGAATTCTGTAAATATGAGATATTGATTAAACCACAGCCCCCAGATCCACCAGTTTTACCCCACTGACTGCCCTCAGACATAACTCGACGGGGCCACCCCAGAACCTATTCACTGCGGGGACACCCGCTCTTAAAAGTGGCACGTTTACCACACCCAATACAAAGCCAAACGCGTCTGATTCGGCTTGCTACCCCGACCGAAGGGGAAAAACGCTACTGGGGGAGGGGGGTCTCCGGCTCGAGAAAAGGGTGAGCCAGCGCTTTCCACCACGTGCGTCTCCGCCGCCGCCTGCTTCCAAGCCTTTTGCCCCGGGCTCGCTCTCTGCAGAAACTGGCCTGGGGGCGCCGCTTGCAGGGAGTCCGGTGCCCCTCGCCTCCGAGCACGGCTGTGGTCTGCCCGGGATCATCAAGAGCCTCTTGCATTTCGGGTCGCCTCCCATGATGACCCCCACCCCGCTGCAATGCAACGGGGAAGGAAGGAGAAGCGCAGCGCCTGCTGGATCCCTTTACTCAGGGGCCGTGAAAGGAGATCCCCCCCCCCGTTGTTCCCGGCAGCGCACGTGCTGACCCACACCTTGGAAGCGCCCCCTCGGCGGCAAACCCGCTGCAGCTCGCTCCAGGAAGAGGCCCCCTTCGCCAGCGCGCTGCCCGGGTCCCGCGCCTACCCAAGCAGCAGCGCCGCCGCCACCTCCCCTCCTCCCCCCAGTTCTAGGCTGGCCGTCGAGCAAAGCCCCGCCGAGTCCTCCTCGGGCGGCTGCTTCTCCCCCGCCGGCTCGCAAGTCGCCACTCACCGCCGCCGCCTCCGCCGCCGGGCTGAGCAGGAGCGCAGCCAGCAGG